GGGTTTAGGGGTTTAGGGATCTCAAAACCCTAGGTACCCCTGAACGAAACCCTGAACCCTCACAAAATAATCAGCTCTCTTGCCAAGGCAAACCTAATGTTGGGGCTTTATCAACAACACACGGAGTCCTACAAGTAGAAGCTACGTGACAACCTACCAGTAGTTTCCAGTGTGCTTCCTTTTCGGGGTTACCGTGTAAGATCCTAAACACAAAGCTGGTTAAATCACAAGGAACCATAAGGAAGACTATAGGTAGTAAAGCCCCCCTTGGCAACTTGGGGTTCTTATCATCCCCTAAACCCCTAAACCCCTAAACCCAAAACACAAAACCCTAAACCCTAGACTCTAAACCCTAAACTCCTAAACACTGAATACACCCTTAAACCCCTCGAGGCTCTCGATTAGTGCCTCGCACGTACGAGGGCCGGAACTCAGACTGAAGGATGCACTGGAGATGCAGAAACCCTGGGCTCGATGCGATAAGGCTCGGATTTCATTAAGGGTTACTTAAGGTTTAGGGTTTAGGGTTTAGGGGTTTAGGGTTTTAGGGTTTCGTTAAGGGTTACTAACAAGGATGCTATAGGATTACTGTACCCATGGGCCCCATAGTAGTTCCTTTTTGGGGTTACCTTATAGGATTCTATATATGAGCCCCCAAAAGGAACTACTGTAGTGCCTATGGGTACCAAGAAGGATGCTATAGGATTACTGTAGGGTTACGAAACGGTCACTGTTGCTACTTCGGGGATTAGAGGACTTCGTATCACAAGCAGCGTAGAATAAGTAGAGTTAGCAGTACCCTTTTCGGGGCTATCCCACCCATTACACCCTACTTATACCTGCTTCCTAAGTCCGCTGATCCCGTAGGAAAGGGCTGAAGACTTGGAGATGTGTGTCTAGTTTGCAAGATGCACGCTTTCGGCTTGAGGATTTGGGGTTTGGGTCGGACTTAGGGTCTACAGCGCTTGATATCTACAACGGACCTTGTTCCTGAGGAGGGTTGCTTGGTGAAAGGCCTAGTAAGGCGTCGTCAAGCTTTTTCTGTTAGCTCTAAGGCTAAACTTGAAGCTTCCAAACTCGAAACCCTAAACCCCTTTTTTACGCACGCTTGTTTGGAGCTCGCCCGGCCAAGTCCCCTCGCAGCACACCCTAAACCCCGAAACCCCCAAACCCTTAACCTGAGCTCCTTGAAGGCTAGTCCAAGTGTCCGGTGCCCTCTGCATAGCTCAGGTCCACGATGTAACCCAGCTGCTGCTTCGTGCGGAGCTCGAGGAAAACCTGCTGGACGGTTCGGGTTGCGCTCTCACAACTTATCAAGCTTCAAGCCCACTACCACACCAAAGCCAGAAAGTAGCTCACAAAGAAAGGTTGTTGTTACTGCACGTTGCATGAAGCAGTCATGGGGCCAAAATCGACTTTCTCCACACCATAGTGATCAGGTCGCCTCGGCCTTTGTAAACTTGTCGGAGGCAGAAGGTTCAGCACTGCATGGAAAATTTTGCGAATTTGCTCCAATGTTCCGGGCATTAATTAGTAGAACCCTTGAGCCAAGCAGTGAATGGCTCGTGCAGGTGCCGCCTTGTGCGAGCACCGTTATGCAATGCTGCGAGCTAGCCGCCCAGTTCACCTCACACTCGGTTTCGCTGCTGCTGCTGCTGTCGCTGCTACTGCTGTTACCAATGCTGCTGCTTTCTGTGCCTGACTTGCCTCCAGCTGGAGTCTCAAGGGTCTCCGGCACGCAAAGCAACAGCCACAGGACGCCAAGCAAGCCGATGGCACCTGCAATCAGCAGGGAGCTATTCTAAAGGTTATATGGGGGCTTCCGAAAATAGGGCCCCTAATACAGTACCCTAAATAATAGGATCCCTATTATAAGGACCCCCAAAATAAGGTACCCTATTTTTCTGAAACTCCCATATAGGCACCAGACCCGAAAGAACCCTGATCTGATCCTGTGGCACCTGTGGTGAGCTCTGCCACCGCAAGGGATGAGGCGGTTGTCAATATGCCCAGGAGGGCCGGAGTGATAAAGTCCAGGCTGGTGAAGAGCAGCCGATACACCGCAATGAAGGCCCCCTGCCTGGTGAAACTGGCATCAGCTTCACGCGACATAGGATCAGACTCGGTATGGTGCGAAGTTCAAACCCCGAACTGCAACATACTACTACTGCGTTCCATTCGAGTCGCCCAGGGCCCTGGGGGGCGAGGTCAGCACCAAGCGTCATCAGCAGTCCCGAGCCCAAGCCATTGCCCAAGCCGGTCAGAACGGCTGAGGCGACCACAGCCGGAGGGTTCTGGAATGCGAGGAGCCTGAGCGCAATTAGGGTTTAGGGTGTAGGGTTCTTGCGGTGGGCTCGTTTAAAATCAGGGTTCAGGTGCAACCCACTCGAGGCTTATCAACGGGTAGTTTTCTAAATTAAGGTCCTTTTTAGGGTCATTATTCTAAGGGTGCCGTACTATATTGGGGACCTAAAAAGGGACCCTATTTTTGAGAACTACCCAAACGCTGAAAGTTGAGCCAAAGAGCAGAAACCCCAGGGCTTAAGGAATATACCTTAAATCACAATATGCTAAGCTCCTTATAAGTTAAGGTCTATTCCTTAATGTCTCTGAAAAAACGGAGCCAAAGAGCAGGAGCCCCAGGGACTGCAACGTGAGCGAAGCCACTCCGGCACTGCGCCGGCCCCAGGAGTCCATGAGCCGTCCGGCCACCGGGGAGGCCAAGGTGTCCACCAAGAAAGACAAGGCTGCCTAGGGTTTAGGTTTAGGGTTTAAGGTTTAGGGTTTAGGGTTTAGGTTTAGGGGTCCGGCGACCGGGGAGGCCAAGGTGTCCACCAAGAAAGACAAGGCTGCCTGACTCGTCCAGTATCATAAGTTTAGGGTTGAAGTCGAGGTGTCAGCCAACAAGGGTCTATGTTTACGGTTTAGGGTTCAGGAACCCTAAACCCTAAACCATCCTAGCAGACTAAAGGATAAATAAATAAATAAATGAATATATATATATATATATAACCTTATAGGGATTATATACGGGGGTTATATTATGACCCCCAAAAAGGTAAACAAGGTTACAACCAGGTTACCTACTGTACTATTAAGCTGCAACTTGCCCGATGACCATGTCGGAGAGGTTCGCTTCACGGCCAGCAAGGGAAAAGAAGAGTTCCCGGCCTTTCCGAACACACTGTTTAGGGGTTTAGGGTTTAGGGTTTAGGGTTTTAGGGTTTAGGGTTTAGGGGTTTAGGGTTTATAGGGTTTAGGGTTTAGGGTTTAGGGGTTTACTGTAGGGTTGAGGGTTTAGTGAGTTCCCGGCCTTTCCGAACACACCTAGGATGTGCTTTGAAAGCCTTTGAAAAATATTAGTAGGTAAGATCCTCTTAAGCCCAATAAGAGAAAATATAAAGTGTCCCAAAGCACTACCTAGACACTGAAGTGCAGCGGCAAAGCCGAGCACACGGACAAGTCGACCGCCGTTCTCCCTCATGGCATCTCTGGCCTGGAGAAATCCCGTGCTCTTCTTGCTAGGAGCCTCCGTCTCTGCTTTCGCAATCCTCAGAAAAGCAGCCGTCACCAGTGCTGCCAGGCCCGCACACGCCAGTTGCGCTGTGAAAACTGCTTGGATGTGCAGCTGCCCCTGCACATGGACAACTAAAGCGGCAATCGCGCTCAAAAGGACTCATGGTAATGGTGGGCAGTAAACATGAAGAAGTAATTAGCGATACGCATACAAACACAAAATCAGCAGTATTGCTAAAACCCCGTGTTTTCATGATCGCTTTGGCTTGCAACAGAGATTAATACACTTCCAGTAACGGCTCATTTCCCTTCAGTGTTGCTCCTGCAGCACGGCGCCCAAAGAGGGCCCCAGCATCAGCGATAGTCGCTGGAGGCCTCCCATAATGCCTGAGTCACGGCACCCCTGGCTCAAGAAAAACACGGAAGCTATCTCGGTAATCTTGCAAGCTGTGGGAATATTCCAATTCCACGATTGCAAATACAAAGCTTATGCCTTGGGATGCCATGAAGCTGAGAGCGAAGCCCCTCTTCCCAGTCTCCTTCGGCACCTGCAAAGCTGTCTAGATTTCTGCAGTTGTGGCATTTTTCACCAACTAGCAGCTAATGCGCTGGTGAATCTGAACTCACGGAAGAAAAAAGTAGCCACTAACAGCCAACCACAAACAGTGCTGTCGCAACATCTAGCAGCTGAGTTGGCAATGTAAGTCTGCTGTGACAGGCCGCCCAATGAGTTTGCCGTGCCCAAAATCAAGTGGGACAGCATGAGTACGGCTAAACTCGTCACAAAGCAGATCCCAGCCGAAAGCAGGACGAGCGTGCAGGCCACAAGAAGGCAGCACCTGAAATCACAAAAAACTCCTCTTCCACTTCTTCTACTAGAACAAAACCTCCTATCTAGCTTTCGACCCTCTTTGATTCCCAGCTGCTTGCTACCGATGAGTGGGAGCAAGAAGCCACCTGGTACGTTCGCTGCCATGAAGCCGATTCCATAGAGCGAACTCAGGAAACCAACATCCTGAGGCTTGTTGCTGTTCTCGAGGATGCTTTCGTCGAAATCTATTCGGCTAATTCGGTTCATCATATTCGGTTCGGCATAGGGCTCGTCGGCAAACAGCGTATACAAGCTTCCCCAAAAAGCAAAGTTCTAGGACGGTTCTGGACATCATGCTTGGTTGTGAATTTTCACTTTGGGTAAGTGCTTTTGACGGTGCCCAGTGTCGGCAGCAGTTCCACCCAAATCCAGGACATATAGTGGCAGCGTCACGACCACCAATCCACGTGTTAGGCGGCTGAGCAAGCAAGTCAGGTACCTTGGCAAACCGTGGGACATAGGCTGGCCACATGAACGCATGGGAAAGTTTTTCTTCAGCATATACCCCGCGTTGAAAGCAGTTTAAAACGTTTCCAAAGCCTGTCTACGTCGCAATGGTGCAAGTTGCTGCAAGACGTCCCGCGAGCGAAGTGGCGGCGGCGGTTCCGGCTCAGCATCATCTTCCCGGACCTCTGTTTCCGGCTCCGGCATGGCGCTGGTTCGGAAGTGCAAAAGCTGGAACTCGATGTCTATGTGCAAAACCGTGAGCTCTCAGTGGGTGTTTCAATTGGGCAAGCAGGCGTGAATATTACGAAGCCTGAATGATGGCACATGCGCGCTTGTGTTAATCCCCGTCCCGGGCGCAACTTATGACTTATAAGCCCAGAAATGTGTTGCCCAGAGATGTTCACGGTCAAGTGTGCCGAATCCCGGGGCACAGCACAGTTCAACAATCTCGCTGGCTTCGGCTTGCGGGTCAACAAACGAGATGGACATACCAATAGAAGTCATACATAAACTTCTTCAGCTTGCAAACCGAAAGCTATTGGTGGCGGCAGCAGCGGTGGCAGCAACAGCAGCAGCAGCAGTAGTCGCAAAATGTCGTTGCTCCTTGCGCTACTGCTTACACCATGCAGCCTCGTACAGTGGTTCATGATTCGCCACAACTAAGTCTTAAGTAAGTCTATCTTCCCTGCAAACTCAGCCAAGTATGAGAAGAAAACTGCATAAAGTGTGAAGCCAGGCTACGAAACGGCTTGCGACCCTTACGGACCGGCGCACTGCCCATTTTGCTCGCTGGTCACGAGTGCAGCGGCGATCCCTGTGCCCGTGTGGCACTTCAACGGGAGACGGCAATCATACAAATATCTTCGGGGTCTTCAAGTACATCAGCCGGTCATTGACCGGTGGCTCCTGTTCTTTTACTGACACGGAGCATGTGGAGACTTAAACTAAGCAGCCGGTCATTGACCGGAATTCTGCTAGCTCATGCTACATCAGCTTTACTGAAGCAGAGCCGGCAGGTCACTTCGCACTGAGCAACAAAGCCGCCGGGAATTGAAAACCCAGGCGGCTGCAAAAGAACTGCAATCGAATTCTCGACGTGCAACAAAAGTTGATCAAACTCTTCTGGCCTTGCCCTATACATTGCAAGGCTGCCCTGTAAACTTCTTTGTCTCTACACCTGTAGTTGCGCTGGCCACATTGTCGGTCCGGCGCTGGGCACGGGGATGTTCGGGAGGTCCATGGGAGTCGGGACCATCCCAACGGTGAGACGTTGTCCGACTCTGTATTCCAATAGCTTCGCCTGACGCAAGGCTGGGGAGGCATTTAGGGAGCGCTCTGGAATACTCTACAGTGTGTACTACTTGAAAGGAATACATCGCTTCGCTAGTGAATGAGGCCATCGCAAGTCAAAGTAGTGGCAACTCCGAATTCAACAACTCCCCGT